AAAGTATTTTCTAACCCATGAAATGAGTCATACAAAATTACACAAATGTATTTTTAGAATTCAACTTCCTGACAAATATGCTCTTACCAGAAAAACAGAAGTGTTAAAGGTAATACAAAGTTTTGGTATTGTTTCAACAGGATTGGATCATGAAATTTAGAATTGCATTACCATTGTGAAACCTAGTATTAGAATATAATAATAATGACAAATTGGGCTCTAAAACGCAAAGGATTTTGAGAAATTAAAATATCAAATTTATCGGTGCTCCCGATAAATTTCAAATAGTGCCTACGGCCATACAATGGTAGCTGCGACCATGAAAATCTCAGAATATGCAGTTCTGATATATAATTTCTAAACAGGAATAGAAGATTGGTTGATTTTAGTCATTTTGAAGCTTAGTACTATCAATCTTGAGAGGGAGCTGTACAACATAAGGAGTTTATTATTCACAATTTCATTACTTTAGACTTGATTTCAACCGCGACCACAATCATTGAATATTATAGGATTGCATATATATGCTTCCACTATGTTCATTTGAACCAAATTCATGACCCCATACCAAAAGTGTTAAAGATATTTTTTTTTTTTAATTAAACCAAAACAAGAAAGGTACAGAAAATAATATCGCTAGTGACATTCGTTTATCTCGCAATGTATGGTCAAAAAGTGCGCCGCTGCAACACTTGGTCAGGTGATAAAATATATTGTAAGCAAGCGTGTTTATACTCTACGGGTGGACCGGCGGTCAAATAATTTGATCAATAATTAGAACAATAACAGATAAGGCCTATTGGCCGAAGCACACAGGTGCTCAACCAACCAATCGGTGCGGGCCGGCTGGACGAGGAGTGTCATGGCGGCGTATCGTACGCATCCAAAATTTGGGGATATCGATCCTGTTGTCTCTGTTGATATTGGGATTGAGACGGATATTGATAGGTATGATTTGCAACTTGTTGAAATCATTTTGGGTCAAGCATTTAGAGGCTTAATATTACAATGACAGTCAGTCTATTAACCTTAAAAAAGTCATAATATGTTCATTCTCTCTACATCCATCAACACTGCATACTTGAAGATAAAAATTCAGGCTTTCAGTTGGGATGATTGAACTAATCTCTCACAAAAAAGTAAGAGATAGCTATAAAATCATTTCCAGAATAATATTTTCAGCTCCATTTGAGTCATAGCTGGCATCTTAACATTTCTCCATAGTTTGGACCTCGACACATGAGGTAAAGGAAGAGGTGTGGTTAAATAAATGCTGTCACTTAAAAATAAAAGATAGCTTCAAAGTCTATAATGCTTAAAGCTTCATTCAAGTCTTAGCAATAGCAGCCCAATGTTCACCTCATTTTTTAACATCAACATGTACAGTAAGAGAGGTGAAAGAGGGGTGGGTTGATTTAAAGCTAGCTTCAAAGCCCTTACAACACAGAAAATAATACTTTAAATTATATTCAAGTCTCATTGCTAGCAGCCAAATACTGCAGCTTAGTTTGGACGTCCACATATTGGAGAGGTTAAGGAGTGGTGGGATTACATAATTGCTGTCATTTATTAATTTCTCTAAAGTTAATCTAGCCACATCAAATGACACTGCCGGCCGGCCCAAGCCTCTAGTTTTTATAAATATTAATTAGTTTGGTACCACATACTGTATTTCAACAAGAAAGCACAAAATCACGCTTTAGGCAGAAGTCAGCTCCTACATAAATATACATAGATTCCATGAATGTGGGAGCTCATGTTACATGGTAGCATGTACATAATGAATACTCAGAGTCACAGAATCTCTTCTGCTCACGAGGTGTTCTTTCTGTCGTCTAAGATGTCAACTGAATATGCATACATTTCATGAACCCGGGCTATGTTACATGGTGGCCTGTACACGCATACTAATCATTACAAATACAAGGCAGCTCTTCTCTTGTTCTTGTTGATCATTCATGATAATACAGGTTAGATGTCAAATAAATACATTATTTTATCAATGCCAATGGAATCATTGTTTTACTGCTAACATTGTATGAAATAAAAGGAGACTTTCATAGTGTTAGACCTAAGTTAGATCTTGATTCAGATCTAGATGTAGTTTTCATACAGTGTACATGAAAGATCTAGGGTAGATGTAGACCTACTAGTATGGCCTCTACTACAGGACTAACTGTTTTTGTCTACATCTAACAATACAGTAACAAATTCAATTCTAGGCTAGATCTAGAATGTTATGTAGAGTCTAGTAGGATAGTGTATCAACTATCAAGCTCTATTCAAATTGTTTTTGTAATTAAAATTTTCTTTTGACACAGCAGACTCTGGGATGAAGTGGTCCTCTAGACTCTAGCATTATCTAACAAATAGTCCAAGAATTCTCTTAGGTCATGACTTGGAATTAGTTCTCATTCTACCAGATTTGTCCAGCACAACCTATGTTGGTACAGGTAAGTGTGTATTTCAGTGGTTGGATTATAAATAATATAGTTATTTATATAGAGCCGGTATCCGCTCAAGCATATCAGGTACCCATTTACACCTGGGTGGAGAGTGGCAAATGTAGATTAACGTCTTGCCAAAGGACATTAGTGCCGGGGGGGGACTTTTACCCCGTACCTTGTGATCTGCAGTCGGGTGACTTATCCACTAGTCCACGACACCTCTATTCTTATCTTGATTAGATGTGAACTTCTTATCAGTAACAATTCCACTGATTGATTATCCTGGACAGACGAGAATCTGTCAACAGATTCCAATTAAAAACAATGAGCTGGAGCTGTTGGTTGTATGGTACCCTACTTTAATTACATGTCCTTTTGATAGGACTTCAAGCCATATGTTCCCTGGTTTCTTATGGGTAGATAATGCTTTGCTTTGTCAGCAGATATGTGCCAGGTATATGAAAACACAAACTACATGTAGAATGGTGAATAATTGACATGAATGTTTGAACATGCACCCTAAAGTTTTGACACATTCGTACTCTGCCACCTTGTATGCTAGTGTCAAACCTAATTAGGCTAGGATTACAAACTACTTCTAAATATAATGAAAAATTAAGGTTTTGATTTAAATAGCTACATATATACAAGATGCTAGAAGGCAAATGTCATCTGTCTGTTCTATTATTAGACGTTCAAAAATAGATTTTTGTAGTTGTCAGTCCTTTCACAACAAATAAGAAAATCTACAATAATGAAAAATCATATTAACACTATTGCAGAGCTGAAAAATTAAAACAGGTTGGTGGTAATACTAAAAAGTGCATTTTTTAATTAGTCTCTTTTGTATATTAACTGTTGATATCAAACAGATCAATTGGGTATTTTTTTTAAATTTTGAGATAGAATGTCACCACTTCAATGATTAAAATTCAATAAAACATCTAAGAGTGGACAGTTGAAACACACACACACACACATATATATATATATATATAATGTTAAGGTGATTCAAATGTATTTACGTATGGAATTCCATGTTTTTGATAAATGTATTTTACATCAGAAAAATTGATACAAAGATGGAAATTAAATAAAGTGAATAAAATTGAATTGAAATAAACAAAAAATTTCATGCCATACAGGTAGTTCACTTTACGGTAACTTCCAAACTTAGGTTGAAGTTGGATTGGATTATGTTTGGTGGGCTTATGCATTGCACTTTCGAATCAAAGTTTTAAAAGGACAATGAGTGACTACATTATCTAACTTTTCACGATTTTCAGAACTCACTGTCCTTAATGTCAGCAATTTTCCACCTTCCATAGGCAGTGATCACTCTAAAGCATGCTTTTCATAATAAAATAAAGCATGGTGTATCAACACTGCATATCATGGCGCAGCTGGATAAGTTATGTTCAGAGTTGATCTGGAATGTTGTGGAGGTGCAAACATTCCATCAAAGTAAATGCTTCACAAGCCCCCTGGATATTAATCTTTTTCCCCCGAAGCTAATTCAATTAATGTCAGGGGAAAACTTCAGCTTCGCAGACTCCCCCCAAATGTCATCTATATGTAGGAGTGTTAAATACCATACATCCACATGGGAGAAAGCTGTTGCTGGAATGATGTAGTCCTACATACTTTAATCAGTGTGCCTGTATACTGGCTTGTTGTGTAACAGTTTAACAGTCCCTTGCAAATAACGTGCCTGCATTGTATGGCATGCTTCAACATCTAACCTGATTCTGCCCTTGTGTGTTTCCTTTACAAGCACCATAATTTTCTGACACATAATGATTATTGGTCAGCTGTTCATGTTGAGGAAGGGGGAGGAAGGGGAGGAAGGGGAGGAAGGGGGAGGAAGGGGGAGACAGCTGTTATTCCTATGTGCTACATGCTACATATCTGTTACCTTATCTAGCCATGTGTTGATACTGTGATTAATTTACATGTACTCAATGGGCAAAAATTGTATTTATCATATATATGACAAAGATGGAAAATAATAAAAACATGACTAAACGAAGAAAACATTCATGTATAATTTTGTTATCTTGATTGTATTATTATTTTACATATTTAGGAAAAAGATGATGTAACTTTGAGCCACAACAAAAGCAAAAGGGCAAAACCATATATGAAGATGAAAAGTATTTATATATTTTACATCTGCAATATCGTGACAGAAGTGTGCAATTTGCAAGTTACTACCTTTTAAACTTAAAAATTCAAAGATTTAAAGGGAGGCTTTACTACTTCAGCAAGAAGGGATTAGACCACCCAGTGAGCCATCGAGGTCACTGTGACAGGTGGCTATCTCATTAACTCAGCTCTCATTTAACATAAGAAAAAGAGGATCATGGGGGACCAACAGGCACCGATTTGGGAAGTTTTCTATATAGAGGGAGCAAGTAGCTACAAGTAGGACAGTGTGCCTTTAAGAAAGTACTTCCAGAAACAAAAGTCTTCTTTGTATAATTAGTTTCTAGAGAAACTAAAGATAGAAATTGATATCCAGACAATAAAGCGTGCATGAATAATGAAACATACCTTTCCAAAGCTGCCTTTTCCGATGGCTCTCAAGATTTGAAAGTGATCAAAATTCACTGTGGATAAATAAAAGAAAACAAAGATATTGAATTGAAATATATATTACTGATTATTCAAAGGCTGAAGAAATCACAAAGAAATTACTGAAACATCCAAATATCATTTAATGTTTTGCAACTTGTCTCCAATACAATTGCTGGCATCATGAGAATTATTGAAAAACACTTTTTTCTTCTAATCTCCTTGTCTATGCATTTAATTGAACATTTTACTCTTGAATATGGTTTAAGTTAATCCAGGGTATAATCCCAATATTGGAAATGACATGATTTGTCAAAACGGGATCCATACATTGTACTGTATGTACAGCATATGTACTTAGGAATTCATCGTTTTCAAATATAAATGAAATAATTTAGCATAAATATCCCTGACATTTCATAACACTTATTCCTTCGATCAAATTATGTATTCCTGGAGAATTGAAACCAAAAAAGAGTGTAGGGAGGAGGGAGAAAAGTAAATACAGAGACATAACCCCAATATCTCTATCAGCCTTGACATGTTTTTCATTGTACAGCGATGAATAACTTGTCCTATTTTCATTTGTCCTATTTCCTTTGACTCACCATGTAGAATCATGTGAGTTGTTTGACAGTCCGTGTGTGATTGGCTTTAATTGGCACACCTGTAGCTCTCAATAAAAATTGACATCGTCATAGAGACCTAATTGTGATTATACCAGTTGCTAGGTTACGTGGTATCCCAACTATCTTAACCATATTGCTCCGTCAATTAGATTAGCTCTCATGAGCCCCCATCTCTGATATGTACACACTCCCCTTCAACCGATGCTGACTGAAGTTACACAGGGCCATTTCGCACAATAAAAATTTATAACGAAACAGTCCAAGAAAAAACAAATCAAGCAGGCTAAAACAGCTACATGTATGTATTGTGAATGGCCTTGTTATGGGCAGCTGACGAAGTATGATGGCCGTACTGCGAAAGGATGTATGGAAATAAGATGAATATTGTACATGCATGTATACAAAATTCATTTCAGAGGCAAGTAAGGGGTTGTGTCAATTATCATACTATACTAATTGTGCCTTCATACTGTGCGATAGTTAATCTTAATTCAAAATCAAAAAGTTCTTGAGTTACGAACACATCACATGCCTCAGATGAAAGAAATAAAAGAAATCAAAAAAATTCCATATCACTAAAATTTTCCTGTAAATATAGTGTGACAAAACTGCATCAATTTTAATGATCATGTAGACTGTAATACCCTCCACATATCTATATCTTAAAACACAGGGCTCACTGAATAAGCGCAGGAGCTTTAAATTGTTGCATCAAGTTGACATTCATTTACACGTTAAAAAAACTGTGGCAGCTTTTTTTTTTGGGGGGGGGGTTGGGGGGGGGGTTTGCAGAAGTTTACAGCATTGTATCTTTACGAGCCTTAACCAGTACTCAACTATTTATTTTAAAACACTATGAGTAGTTATATCCCAGCTTGAGAGCCACACATTTGCCTCAATATCTTGCATTATTCTTTCTGTAATATTCCTACCTAGCATACCAAGGTATTAATGAGGTAACAACCGTAACAATAACATTTGTTAGTTTGATTTGGATTTGCAATTTTGATCTGCACGCAATCAGAACACATTGGATAAGTAATAGTTTTACTTTCTATTCTTATTCCATACAAATATATCAAGAAATGGAGAAGTTAAAACTTTGCTTTGAAAGACTCCTCGATTATTTCAAATTCTTACTAATCTATCCTTTCATCTCTATCCACTAGAATGCAAGATCCATGTTTCATGATTCAAAGTCCCAAGTCATATATTTAGGCTACTGATAAATCCTGTCACGAAAAATCCTAATCCTATCAAGAACGTGCCCAGCGCCACTGGTTGGTGACGATATGGGTGGGTAGTAGCCGTACAGGGATATATTAAACATCATAACAGATCCATAGCTGAACATACTCCCAGGAGAGTACCAAGCAGGATTAATATGAGCAACGTCTTCTGTTCATCTGCTGCCATGCATATTTTGAAATAAAGTAGCTTATTCTAGGACACTGAACCGTCATGCTGATTCCCAGTCTGCCGCCGAGCTAGCTTGAATCGTTAAGTTCTTGAGATTCTTGAGGAATCTTCTTGCACTTATTTGTTCCTCACCAAGACTCCGGGCACGTACTCCATTTAATTAGTCTGTCAAGGTTACTACATCCCATGTGGTTTACTCCAGGCTTCGTCTGTCTTTCTAACCTTACCCACACACCATGTGCATATCCAAGTCATGTTGAGAACTGTAAATAAAACGTTGTTTTCAACATTGTTTCATTCTACTTGAAGCAACATACCTGATAAGTTCACAATTTAGTATTTTCTAGGGGAAGTTTTTCATCTATTCAGCAATTCAATGCATAGATTTGAACACCCTTCTGGCTCTCAACAGACAATACCACAGTGAGGAGGAGAATGCTTGCTTGTTTATCTTGGAGTTGAGAGAAATGTATTACAAAGTACAAACTGTACAGTTTTATTCTTTTTTTAATTGTAAATATATTCTACAAAAGAAATGTAATCTGAATTCTCACATATGTTGATTCCTGTGCACACACAGCCTCTTTTTTTAAACATTTAAATCTGTTATAACTGCCTTTTTACTGGAAATTCCATTCAATCGCATTACATCCAAAAAAATAAACATCTCTGTCCACCACCTTTAAAAAACAGGTATGCTATCTTCAAATTCCATCAAAGTGAATGGTTCAAAGCTGCGGAACAGTACATTGTCCTCCTTGAAGAATTCAACTTCTCTGAACACTTTCAAAAAGCGTTACCAACATTATTTGCAAGCTCACGAGTAATGATTGAATTGTAATGCGCACATGTACATGTATGTGTCCGTGTTGGGTTCATGCAGGTTTTTTTAAAGTAAATGTTTTGTAATTGCCTCTTGCTTGTTATCTTTACTCTCACTTATCTACAATCCTCTCCCTCTTTCTCTCTCTCCCTTCCTCACTCTCCCTGCTTCTCCTGTACTCATTCAACCCACTTTACCTCTGTATTTACTTTCCTCTTTCTCTTTTTTCTTTATAAATCAATGTCAATGCTCCAACCTAAATTGTCTTCTTCTTTTTATATACTATTTTTACATGGGCTTCATTGCCCAAAGACCACTAGGCCTTTTTAGGTGTTCCTCGCAAACAATTTTATTTACCCCTTAATATTTATTCTACTAATATTTCTATGTTTATATTGTTTGATGCAATTTTGTGCTCTGTAAACCATAAGATTAATATATATATGCTACATTTATAATGGTTTTTTTAAGCATGGATTGTATAACAAAATTAAATTAAATTAAATAAAACTAGAAATATGTAACACTGCGCTCTTCCTAAGTACATGAACACGCCCCGACAGTATATTGCTAGAGAAAAAGAAAAAGAAAGGAAAAAATGAAGTGAAACTTCTGCCCTTCTTGTGTTTTCTTTCGCAAGAAAATTGGAAAGTGCTCCTTTGTTGAAGGCCCATCACTAGGCTCATCTCCGGGATACAATTATAGGAATTGATCCTCCGAGAGATAACAAGCGCATTACAACCCATACTTAATTTTTCAATCAATATACCTGCAGAAATGCGATGCTTTTGATGAATAATGAATGCAGTAAGGCAGCTTGATTACAATGATCTAGTGAGAGTGTACAGAGTGTACCTAGTCGGTCTACCTCTGATGCGTCCTAGCTTGGTAAGGGGCCCGGGGGAATGGGGGGGGGGGGGGCATATGTTTAATCACTGACACAATCAGGCAAAATATTGGTTAACAGCTTTGATAGATAAAGTGATATTACTTATAAGTGTATGTGTACAATTATGTGCTGTATGTCAAGGTTTTACTAGAGATCATTGTCATTTGAACATGTCTTTATTGCTGCTTTGCAGTTTTATGGGGGAGTAGGGAAGGGGGAGAGGGAGGGGAAAGGAGGGAGAAAGGAGGGGGAGAGGAGGGGGAGAGGAGGATGTAGGGGAGAGAAGAGGAGGGGAGAGGAGGCGGGGAGGTTGAAGGTAAGGGGAAGGGATTGGAGATGAGGAAGGGGAGGGAGAAGAGTAGGGGAAGGGGAGGGTGAAGAGGAGGCAAAGGGGAGGGGGAGTAAAGGGTGATGGTGAGGGGAGGAAAAGAGAGAGAAGGGGGAGGGGCAAGGGGAGGCGAAAGGGGAGGGGGATTGGGGGAGGGGGTAAGGTAGTGAATATAAGGGGGAGGGTACAGCAAAGGGTATACCCAAATTTATTTGAAAACTATTACCATATTACTATAAACTAGGGCTGCGACGAGTAGTCGAATGCTCGAGTACCTGCACTGTTGACAACTACTCGAGTACAATTTCTCGTACTCGAATATTCGGCCGCAAAAAAAAAAAAAAAAAAAAAAAAATCCTGGTCATCTGGCACTGTCCAGGCCGACGCTTAGCCGTGCCAGGGAGAGCGGTGGCCGCTGGCATGGTACCGTCGGTAAAAATTTTTCCCAACTCACCACTCAGAAACTTGGACCAAATGTCCGGATTTCTGTTTGGACTCGGAGGAAAATGGATTATTCTGCCATCTTTAGTTTTTCAAACAGCATTGTTTACTGTTATTATTATTATTAAATCGGCGCCTTCAACTGCAACTCGAAGTAAAATTGCATGCGTTTTTGGCGATGGACCTGGGATACTGTTCCAGTGGTATGGTGGTGGCAAAAAATCAAAAATTAAAATTAAAAAAATTAACAAAAATTCAAAAAATTCAAAAAAATTATTAAACTAGATGGAATTCGACTGCGCGCAGTCGAAAATGATGCCTCCGTCATAGAGCAATTTTACAAACCGAAACGGAAGAAATTTTTCAAATTCAAGTTCAATTGTAATCCATTAACATGTTCTCAGAATATCGTGAATACAAGCAATTTCTCATAAACATATATGACCCTTTGATCTTTGACCTCATGACCCTAAAATCTACTCAGTTCATTGGCTCTGCAAGATTTC